ATAACCAAGAGAAGATGGAAATGGCTTGGCCACCTTATGAGAATGAATCCTGAAATACCTGCCAAAACAACTCTCACATGGACACCAGAGGGAAAGAGAAAACAGGGGCGCCCAAAAACAACATGGAGAAGAACGATGGAAAGTGACCTGAGTGCGGCATCTTTGACATGGAAAACTGCACTGAACATTGCACAGGACAGGAAAGCATGGAAAGTCCTCTCTGAAGCCTTATGTGCCACTAGGCACAACGAGAACTGATGATGATGATCACCCACGCCAGTCGGCAAGGCACCTGATGATGATGATATTCCAGTATACACCTCATATGGCTTGCAGTCCATTCCTCAACTAATGTTCTATCCTGCTGATATTATAAATGGAATCCAGAACAGATACCAAAGAAAAATGCAAATCGACAAAACTTCTCATGACTTGAAATACATCATCATCATGTGCCCTGCCAACTGGCGTAGGCGCTCATGTGTTTCCACAGATCATGACCCTTGGAACAGCTCACTTGATGATATCCCTCTTTGCCATCCTTTCAGCCCACCCAGCATCATTTTATTTTTAATTCTACAATAGACTAAAAGAATCGCACACACACACAAACAAGTTCAATACAAAAGTGATCATTTAATACAAACAATACCATGAAATACAAAACCTGTATGAACTGATGATACATTTCATATGAACACAGATGTAATATCTTACAAGACAAGGTTAACAGACTTCTACAGGCAAACATAACCTTTCTGATCATCTAATGATGGAATTCAATAAAACTAGGTAGACATCGTATAAAACGTAAACTTTACAAATAAAATAACCCCAACAATAGGGGTGACAAACTTTACAAAAACAGTCATGGTGAATAAATGTTTAAAACAAGTTACGTGGATAAGCAAGTAAGTGGAGATGATTGTGTCAGCACCTAGCTGCACTTCTAGCACTGGGGCATTATAAAACACGGGGAAAGCCAATGCTAGATTACTACACTGCAGTCTGTGACCAGACAGCAAATATACTATGATTTATCACCAAGGCAAGGATAACATCCTTCTTCTCTAGCCCTGTTCTGCCTTTCAGTGTCAGGTGAGAGCCTTGTTATGTGCTAGGAGGATGCGTGTATTTACAGCCTTGGCTACTGTAACTATGCACAGTTTGCATGGCTGACTGCACGGTACTGCTTCCATTATATCTAAGTGACAGGGCTCTCTAGGTGCACTGTTTGGTGGCAGTCTTGACTTAACTTCTCAATCTGTTGTCTCTTGATGTGGTTTAGTAACTAATCCCCAACTTCCTTCCTGGTATCGTTGTATCTGATCCTGCCTCTGCTAGTTACATCTAGGTTTCGCAGGTTTCATTAACGCTTGGGCGTGAACCCGGACCACAAGAAGTTCATCGCCAGGTCACCACATAGTCTGGTTTAGCCAACTATGCTAGAGAGCAGGGCTAACATTTGGGATAAGTAAGATTCTTGCTGACAATTTATCCTGTCCCAACACTTCTCACTGCAACCCTGACAGTGCCCTAAAAATTGGCAAAATAATGAGTTTCTAGCATGTTAACTGCAGAATGATATAAGACTAGAAAAATCTGGTTTATCTTACCACCTCAAATCTGTTATAGTTTAAAAATGATGACCTTTAAAAGATTACTTTTGCCACGAACTAGATCATTACTGGACAACTTCTTATGTTTCTTGGTGTAATTTGCTAGAAATCTGTGCATGCCTCAAGAGAAATATATGAACAATGTAAATTCTGGTCATTGGCTGAAAAATCCATTTAAAAAAATGTTTTTCCTCTTAAATAAACCGTCGATGGCAGAAATCCAACCCAAGCACACTAGGATACAAAAGCTCACTAATCTCTTAGTAACGCAGCCGCAGGATGTGCACATTCAGACAAACTTATATGCTCAACTTTTTTTTTTTTATAGTTAAGGCCACTTTACATGCCATCTGGCTAGACACATTTTTATAGGAGGTGCCGCTTAAGTGCAGTTGATAGGAGACTCGCTTTCAAATTCAGCTGCCCACGGCAGGTGTTTGAAACCTGGGGTTCACCTAGCCCTTAGGTAATGGGTACCAGAGTTAACACTCTGTGGTAAATGAAGGAACGTCGCTGTAGCTACAAAGTTGTGTGCATAAGGCGACACAGCTTCTTATCAGCTGTCCGTATTGGTGGCAGAGCACTTATGGTTTATAACCGTGTGCAACGATGCTGGTTCACATCTCCCAACTTTACCTTTACATTTTTATAGATAAATCGGCACTCGTTGGGTGATGCGGTCAACATCACACAGGTTGTTCACTATTAAGTGATAAACACTATCACTGAGTGTATCAAACTACTAATATTAATTTACTAATACAGAGATACAAAAAGATATAATGATTGATGGGCATTTACTAATGAATTTAGCAACAATTTAAATATACTGCTTTAAAAAAACCCATAGGGCCACTTTCATGGCAGACTTCAGACATTATGACCCGAGTCGTTCTAGCATACTGAGGGTTACATTATAACAATCATGCAGAGTGTGTTTGACAGAGTGGACAACTCTTAATCTCCTACCAACTTCTCACAGCCTTGCACTGTCCTGCGGCTATGCTATGCTCTCCGTCTATCAACACCGTTCAGGCTTCTCTGATGAGCGATGGCTAAAACTAAATGTTACAAACAAATCTATAGCCCCTTCCTTCCGGAAAGTGGGTAATATGTATTCATTATATTCATGACTAGCAGGCGAAAAATTTAAGCAATGTTATCAACAGGCTTTGCCGCAGGAAGCATTTATAAATATGCATTATTTCCCTTTCCACCACGCACATCTAACTGACCTTGGAGGCACACACTTGTAACAAAGATCTGATTTTTTGTCAGATTAGCAATGTTCAAGAATGCAGCAAAAATGCAGTTAAAGTTTTGTAGTTAAGTTTTTAAAGTTAAAAAGTTCGGCTGGAATGACCTATGCCCATTTGGGTTCTTGGGCCTATTGTAGGTAAAACCCATAATAGAACCACCTTCATCCACATCCTAAGAGTTGACTAATGGGAAGCTTCCTTCAAAATCTGAGTGCATCTGCACAAGTGGCAAGGAACAACAACTGCACCAAATAAGCTAGTAAAACATAGGGGCAAAACTCAGGCCCTGGTACAAAGCCAAAGTCAATGGACGAACACAGCAAGCAGCACTTTCCTTCAGAGCTCTAACAGTGACAAAAAGTTGCACTAGAAAATTAAAAGAGAGATGAGAACAGTGAGTGTTACAAACAACAAATTAGTGTAACATTTCTGGCTGTGGAGAAAAAGAATTGGTGAACATTCATAAATGTTTGTGTGTTGTGTATGGAAGTTGTCCAGTTAGCACTAGTCATTGGTTGAGAGTTAAAGCTTCAGAAAGTGAGGAGATGAACCAGAGGATGTTATTCAGTGAATTCACCTTAGTGAATGTAACCGTGTAGAATGCCAATAAAACAACGCAAAATCTTTGTAATGAGACAGCTAAGAGAACATTATAAAACACCATACAGCAACAACATGCAAATACGTTCGGTCTAAGCAAGACAGCATAAAAACAGTTTTTTTAAAGCTTAAAAAGGTTTTGGCGGCAACTAACATCCTAGACTACCCCCCCCCCCCCCCCCCTCCACACAAGGTATCAACATCATAAAAATGAGGGCTGATTCCTACAATTTTCAAAGAAGCCATCAAAACATGATTCTCTGAAACAAAATTTTTTTTGTCAAGAATGAGTATTTTTAAAAGTAAAAATGATATGCAAAACATAACCCTATGAATGGGTTCTCATATATGTTAAAATGCTAATGTCTAAACAAGAAAAAAAAAAACGATTAAAAAAAAATAGTTTTTGTATGAATTATACTAAGTTTGTAATTTCTAAAACAAATTCATTGCTGGTAAAGAAAAAAATAAAAACAAATACACAACTTAATCACAAAACTTCTGTCCAGAAAAAAAAATCCAGAACAGGTTGGCAGTAGAGGCTGCAGGTTTCTGTACAAAAATTTCAACTTCTTTGTTTCTCACTTTGATCTTCACTAGCATTTCTTCTATGAGGAGGCCAGCAGTCTTGTCCTGTTTAATATAAATAACATATTACTTATTAATGTTAGACTATTATAGTTGTGTGCACTGTTATTTTGCTGAATGTCTGTAAATATTTAAAGGATTCAGACAAGCTGAATCACTGGTGGTGGTGCATCAGAAACAGGGCTCACATTGGTCCAACACCTGCCTCTACTTCTCTACAGCCACCCTAAAGAAAGAGGTTCTCAACCAGAAACTTAACCAGCGCAGATAGGATTATTTTCTTTAAGCTGGAATGCAGTTACCAGAGAGGCGAAGAACCAACAGACTGCACACAGGTAACTCAGACGTTTTTTATGGATATGCACGCAGCACCCAATCCAAATTTTGGAGAGGAATGGATGGAAAACCAGGATTTTACGCTGTGCGGAAGAAGTATATATTGTAATACCATAATGTAGTTACTTCAGGATCATTAAAATGTTTGTGTTTCTTCTTGTTGTGGGCCAAAGAAGGCTTTGTGGCTGCAACATGCATTGTTTATTTTAGTGTTTTTGGGGGTGACAAATGTACATAAAATAGGCTTAGCATATGCTGCAGCTAAATATGAAAAGTTTCCATAATATGCACACAAACACAAGATTCCACCCACCTGTCTACCCACAATACAAGACATCAACAACCTCTACACAGTACACAGTAAAGAATGCCACTAACGCCCATACACATAATCTCATGATCTCACAAACTCCAACCCAAGCAGACAATCACAGGATACCACTAACTCCCACCTAACCATACCATCACAGGATATCACTAACCACACCATCACAGGATACCACTAACGCCCACCTAACCACACCATCACAGGATACCACTAACGCCCACCTAACCACACCATCACAGGATACCACCAACCCTTACACACGCAGCTTACCTAAAAGAAGATTGCATCTTGAGCAAATGAAGACTGGCTATCTCCAGGTTTCCCTCCTAGGCCACCTAGTCCGGGCCGCCCTGCACCACTCTGGCGGTAGTAGTCGCTCCCTGCGCCACCAGCTGCGCCTCCTAAGCTACCATTAGATCGGTCACCACCCCGATAAAAGTCCCCACCTCCATTGCCATAAGCCCCAGAATTGACAGCTCTGCCGGCAGCAGCGCCTTGCAACTCAGCACGACCAGCAGACATTGGTTTCCTGAAACAGACAAAGAAACTTACTGAAACAGACAATGAAACTTAAAACTGCCCACATTTCGAAAAATTGGATGTGTTTAAAGAGCTGTAACTGATAGCAGTAAAGGTTCCTTTTCCACACCTTTAGGCGTATTGGGAATATATGGCGACCTATATTTTTTTATAAACCAATCGCAATCGGCACATGGTGGGTAATGTGGTCAGATTTCCACCGGCTGCCTTTACTTCCCAGGACTGCACCTGGTACCCACTCAAGGCTAAGTTGACCAGGGAGTCAAGGTCATTTTTGAAAAACAAATTCAGGCTCCGTCAACTGATAGCAGTAAGCTGTCAAATTATTCAGAAAAGTGACAAAGTCATTTTGATCATGTCAATCCATCATCTCCTATTCTCAGCACTGCTCTGCAAAATGCAAGGAAGTGGTTTTGAATGACAAAAGTCTATAAACGGTAAACTTATGCTTTGGGAAGTACTCTCCGTTCTCATAACAGTTAATGGTCACATTGCCCACTCTCTCTATTTAACACTGTATAACAGCATTTCACCTTTAAAAAAAAAAAAAAAAATTACCCGATGTGTCCACCAATGCTGTTATGCATGGTTACACCAGTATGTATTGTATTTACACAATGCAAAAGTTTGATCAGTTCTGCTGGTGTAGTATTTTAATTTTCATGCCACAGCCAAATTTAGTTGTTTTTTTGCATTGTCAAGTTTTCCACAACCCTGAAACTCCAAGAGACTGTTTAGTATAAATAAGTAGTCAAAGATTCTCACTAGCTGACAGGTAGAGCGAGCAAGCCAGCCAAAGAAAAAAAAAGAGAGACAGAGCGAGAAGGGTATATTATTCTTGTATAAGTTGCGCAATAAGCTACAGACTGTTTTGTATTCTGAAAGTTCAACATATAATAATACCTGTCATAATATTCTGGAGGTGGCCTTGAGGGCAACGGGTCTCTCTCTCTGAAGTAAGGATCAGCAGGTAAACCCCGAGCACGTTCATCTAGGTAGGGCCTTGGTGGGGCAAGCCTATCTCGTGGATCGGGTGGGTAACGTTCAGCCAGCCGATCCCTTGAAATCAACGGAGGAAGGCGCTCACGTGAGCCTCCAGCTCTATCTCCCAGTGGCCCCAAGCGAGAATAGTAAGCCTCTCTTTCCATGTAGTAGCGATAATATGGATCATATCGGTCATGTGCTGCTGGAGGCAATGGTGGGTAAGGATAGCGCTCATAGTCACCACGTCCAGGTGGTCCATAAGGACGAGGTCTGTTGCCTGCACCAGCAAAGCTGCAATGAAAATGACTATGTCAATACAAAGGTCAGTTGTCATTTCATTCATTATTCTATTTAGTACGAATTTCTATTTCAAACAAAGAGGTTTTCCTACAAAGAATCAAAATCTGTTTTGCGTATGTGTGTGTTTGTTGTGCACACCTGGATGTTTGACAATTATACTCCAGTATTTAAGTTTTCCAACATTAAAAATTCTTCACATTTCACAATTACAGCAGTACCTCGATATATGTACTTAATCAATGGACGTATACCAAACTAATTCTCCTATAAGAAATAAAGGGAAAATTATTAATCTATTTTCGTGGGGAGGAAATCAATTATTAATACTGACATATTAAACACTGATAGGGTTGTATAAATCATTTATTTACTGCCTTATATTAAAATATATAAAATAAAGCAACTATTTTACCTTTCTAAGAGAAGTACCTACTAGGATTGTGCTGAGAAGGGAGGAGGAGATATTGTTTGCAACAAAACTGCAGGAATCCGACACTGTAGTGGTTTTTTTTTTTGGAGGGTGGGTGGAAGGGGTGTCTTTTTCCCCTATTAGAACTTAGTTGAGGCTCACCAGGTCTGACTTTTACAAAAAATGTGCCCCAAAAAATTCTGATTCAACCTTCTAATCAGGATGATTCAGAAATGTGACACTGTCTGGTTATTCAAGATGATGCTATTGCGGTTTGTCTGGGCTGGTACAAAGTTAATGACATATATCCATGGCTTAGTCTAGAGAGAGGTAAACAAGGATAGAGCACGGTGTTGTGACCAACTTTGTCTCATACAGGTTCTAGCGAGTGTATACCAAGCTAAACGTACCCCAAAGTGAACATATACAGAGGTACCAATGGATAAATTTCTTACTATTTCAATCTTTCTCTAAATATTGTGATAACTAAACAGATATCTCACCTCTTTTTCATACAACTTTGATAAAATCAACAAATTAGCTTAGCGTGAAATTGGCTTAAAATTACCACAAACACATTTACTATAGTTAAAAGAAATGCTGGCAACATTCAAAGACAACCCACATTGAGTGAATTTGTAAGTGAAGGTCAACGACAAGGACTGAATGTTTTACAAGCAGAATACGATCAATAGTATCTTTAACAACTTATCTATTATATTATAGCAAAACAGATACATTGTGCTCGCAGTTAACAAGTGTCAATAAGGAAGATTAGTGGGGGGAAAGCATCGAGCAAACTCAATTATCTAAAATAAATTACAGTAATTTATTGACACTGAATACGGCCGAAAGACTGCTTGATAATACTGATCTGGATTGGTGTATAACATCGGTGGATGTCAATCGCAGAGGGCATCGGCACGGCACAATCAGGATTCATCGGTCAGGTGGACTAACAACGGTTTAGAAACTTGCGCAAATAAAACGTTTCGCTAACCCTCTCTTGTCGAATTTTCCGCCGCCACCTCCACCTTTCTTTCCGCCACCGGTTGACAGCTGCAAAATTAAGAAAACAACAACATAGAATTGTGTTTATAAAAACACGAAGGGGAAAAAAAACGCCTTTTGCAATGAAACCTGTCTTAAAAGCACACGAACATAACAGAAATAGGAAAATTTACGTCATCTACGGGAACATCAAAGAGATAAATCCACTTTTCAGACTGAACCAAACAGACCAGGTTTCATTGGCGAAAAACGTAAAGTATATCGAATCGATCCATGCATTAATTAACATGTCTAGACATCCAATTTAAATATTCAAGGGCGGTCTAAAGCATTGTTGCTATGTAGAACATCTGGGGTACGGTTGCACATTACTTTGATGGTCTTATGGTCATCTGTAACTGGGTATATTGGAAAAACCTCCACGGGTACGACGAGTTATACGATTGTGGCTTGCACTGCTGTGTTCATTACTTTTCTCCACTTGGCAGAAGCATTGCTTGTTGCAAGTTTGAAATAACAATGACTTATCTCACTCTGCTACACATGCATCTGGCAAAACTTAATATTCCTCAACAGTACAGTGCTTCTGTTCATAACAGAACTTTATTCATAACTAATGTTTATGCTATGAGCGCGGTATAGCCTCAATCTTTGTCAATACCTTTTAAAATAAAGTTCTGCTATTTACTCCTGCAGCTCTGAATTTTTTTTAATTTTAAATAAATATTTTACCAACTATGTAGCAACTGGATGCAGGCAAAAGTGTTCAGAAAACGCTTGGGTTGCTATGTACCCCGCAGTCACAATTACCACTGTGCTAAGCAAATTCCCAGGAGCCTTTTCCCTGTGCTGAATACTCTTCTATTCTCTAAACGCAAAAGATGCATCGGCAGTGTGGGCTAAAACACCTAAAACATTAACCTTGGGATTAAGAAAATAACTGGTGTAGGAGGATCCTAGTAATCCACCCCTGGCCGTGACTCATAAGTTACAATTTGGACTGATGGCAATCCTCACATTTCAAAACTGATCGTAAAATCTATCACGGCTCTCATATGAAATCATTATTAAATGTTGTCACCTTTTTATTACTTTAAAAAAAATTAATACTTGGGTGATCCATTGCCGAAAGTGCTAAGAACTGAAACTAAAAATTTACACTTAAAAATATTTGAAAAGGGGAAGAAAGTCATGGAGGGGTTGAATGCATGACCTTTCAATTATGAGGCGGTTGTGAGACTGATTACACCAGAATTTTGATAAGATGATAGCTAAAAGTATGACCATTATTCTATGATGTAATAGACATGCATTTTCTGGTGTAAAGTACAGAAAAAAAAAATTAATTTTAATCATCATTACAGTATGTGACCATATCCTCTTGTTGATCACTGGGGAATCCATTTCAATTCCAATGTTGATGTGATGGCTGGGTTGGGTGGTCCTGCTTACAGCTAGAAGTATGCCCGTCCTCCTGCGCGCAATGAAGATAACTCAGCTCATAACTCACATTTCAAAGTGATCATTATTACCACACCTTGAAGAAAATCCATTAATTCAGTTAGCTAGTATTCTTGCCATTTGCATTTTAACACAAACATAGACCAATGCAAAACCAGAAATATATGCCACGGCAAATTGTTCACAGTTGCCCGACTATGCTTCTACGGTGAATAAAGCAACAGGATCACGCAGAACTCATCTAAACGCATGTGATAAGAGTTTTTAATCGTATGTGAAATGGGTCTATTGGGTAATGCGTACTGCCATATCACCCCAAGAAGTACGTCTTTAGCAGTCTGTAAGAAAAGCGGAAATTGTGTTTTTACGTTTACAGCAGTTTAGGAATAGAAAACGGAAGACGCAGAAATACATCCTTAACAGTTTATGGGGCAAACGTATAATTATGTCCATAGCAGCAAAATGGTTAAGGAAACTGATGAAATACAATCCAGCAAATGTTTTCAGGTTTTTCTTTCACAATTCTGAATAGTGCAAAAGAATTATGACAGTAAATTAATGAATTCACACTGGATTTTTACAAACAGATCATCATGGTCTAGAGAAAATGGCGCAGCAAGGAGTGACTAGGTGATCTGGCCAACGCTCAACACTCAGGGAAGGGACAAGACGGATTGTCAGACCCCTGTGAGTGTAGTCATGTGGCGGAGCAGACCACACATGGGTGTACCGTGTTCAGGGTACACCCAAGAGTTGACACAAAGGTCAGTGACGCGACTGGCCAAGTATGTGCTGCGTGCGATGGCGAAACTAGCGTTCAGTAGAGACCACTTGAAGACCACACACAAAAAAAGAGTTCGCAACATGATTGTTCCATGACTTACTGAGCAGGTCAACCGGTCAAAAGGCACGAGGTGTGAGAACACGGGGATTCGAGGAGCAGTGTTAGGACCGAATAGACATGTTAGCGAGACAGAGATAGAACGTTTGAGTTAGGATATTCCTTTAGTGACTGCATAGATGATTTACAGTGTTAGGTTATAATAGGAAAGTCTTTTTGTGCTGTGTATTTAAATGGTATAATGTATTGTGTTGTTTCACAATAAGTAAGTAGTGTCCATTTATTTCTGATTAGTTTGAATCAGTTAGATGTATGTTTTGTGAGCTAATGTCTAACCTTGTCACGCTAACCCTGCGCTCAACAGAAGCTCTGACATCTTGGTGAGCTCAGGTGACAAGGTACAAGAAAGTCCACCCGCAGATGTGTGGCTTGTGCACCTGGGATTGCCTGTGGTAACAGACTGGAGAGCAAGTGATTGTAAAGCTTGTTCAGACAGTGTTCCAGTTGGCTATACAGCGGGAAGTAAACTGTCCGTTGTAATATCTGTACTTACAATAAAGATTGTCTGTGTGTTCTGTATGCGTTTGGGTTCAGTCTGTGTGAGGCATAGATTGTCTGTCAGAGGCCCACTCACGAGCCACGGACCTTTAAGGTCATCCAGAGGTCTGTGACACGGATATACAATCAGACTGCTACTGCTAACATCGGAAGTGGAACCCTGTGTCTGCCGATGAAAAGGTGGATGTAGCGCTTATGGGAATGTATCGAGTTTTATCGGCTCAATTAACAACATCAAGGTTTATACAACGGATCAACATCATGGCACAAGGGTAGTAACTCATAAGTGCCCTGTTCTACTTTTGATTCAAGCCTGAGTCTGAAGAATCTCAGCGCAGCACATGAACTCCGTAGAACTAGCCAAGAAGACTGAAATACTTTGGGAAGATTTTAAACGAAATTTTTGCCCGGGCAGCGCCGTTATGCTATTATTTTTTATTTCCAACTGCCAATAATACACACCGGGTGTAATTACTAGAAGTCCACGTGGACAAATTCTAGCCTTCGCCGGGGCCTCCAGCTCTCTAGGTGGACGCCACGCCCCGAGACCACTTAAAACCCATCCCCCCCAATGACATTAAATTGTGGGAAAGAGTTGAGGAAAAAACATGACAATACCTCTACACGGATGTTGTTTCCATCAATGCTATAGCCATCCAGCTGAGCAATCGCCTTGTTAGCTTCATTCTTATCCATCATATGCTGCAATCAGAAAAGTCAAGAATGGTAAATGGCAACACGCTGGCAGAAGAAGAAAACAAAATGCTTGCAAAACAAGTATTCTTAATACGTGTTTCCCATGTGGGTTCATGAGTCCTGTTCTGCTGAAAGAAATAAACAGAAAAGACCAAATTTCTCCAAACAAGAATCTCGTAAAAAGTAAACATGGCTAAGTCGGAGTGCATCTGTCTGAGGTAAGGAACCAACAGTCTGCATACAATAGGCCAGATTTGCGGACATGCATATAACATTCAAAGTTTCAGAATAAGATCAGAAATGGACAAACAACCAGAACTTTAAAAATAATAATAAAGAGGAACCAGTGTGCTGCAATAAACTGAAACTTCTTCTTCTGCCTTTCTATCCCCCAATGGAGCATAGGCCCTCAACCAACTCACGCCAAGTCGTTCTATCCTTCGCCATTGCATGGAGCTCTCCCCATGTCCTCCCCATCTTTTTAACTTCATTCTCCAGCTCGCTTCTTCATGTGTTTTTTGGCCTTCCTTTTATTCCTATGCCCCTGTGGGTTCCAATGCAAAGACATTCTAGTTATGTGGTTCTCCTGTTTTCTCAGTGTGTGTCCTATCCAACGCCAGCGTCTTTTCCTCACCTTTTGGTCCACTGGAGCCTGTTTAGTTCTCACTCAAACTGAAACTACTTAAAAAAAAAAAAAGGAATATAGTGAGGAGTATTTTACACTACATAATTTCTCCACTTTCACTCCCTCCCTGACACACACAAAATGCACACAGAAACACAAATGAATAAATAACTACTTACGACAAATCCAAAGTTTTTGAGAACATCACATTCCACCACTTGGCCATATTTTTCAAACAAAGGACGAATCTGTTCGGCAGTGGTCTTGGAGTTAAGGTTGCCCAAGAAAATTTTCACGGTCATTGTGGTGGTCCTAATCTACAGCCCACAAATAAAACATAATTAAGTTACACAAAACTGTTATGATTATCTGTGCAACAGTTGTTAGCAAATAATGAAAGTGTGTGTTTGAGCCTGCAAAGGTGGAGGAAGAGAACAATGTTAGAACCCAATAGTGTTTATTTAACTAATATTGTGAGGACTGTTATACATGATATGGGAAGGAAGGTCTGACTTGGGACAGACAGCGCTGCTCTTAACCTGCATATTCTGCAGCTTTGTTTAAAATTTACTGGTGTTACATTTTCCCCAATCCATGCCACGCTTAGCGGTGTGGAAGATACTCTCGGCAGTGGTTGTATGATATAGTTCTCTGAAGTCCGCAATTCGTCGGTGGCGGTATAGTCCCCGGAAGTCTGCAATTGACATGTGACTGAGGCACTGTTAGGGTATATTTTCGGCCTTTATAATTTGGGACCGTTATTCGGAAGATAGCCGTATAATTATTCAACCATCATCATTCCGTGTACAAGATACTGTTCCTACTATGTCTATAGAAACCTGACCATGACTGCAGTAGGACAAAGCAAATAAGATTATTAAGTAGACGCATGTGGATATATATACGTACAGAAATAACTAGTTTTAATGGAAATAAAAACAGTAAAATATACATGGGTGTAGTGAAGGTATGAAATGAGATAAAGCAAGTCGGCGATTTCGGCCACATTGTTATTTAGCGACTACGGACACGCCCCCGGCACGTGACCTCCGAAAAATGATGACGTCACTGATCTAGCAAAATGTGCTTACGGAAAACTTCGGTGGGATTCGGGGTGCCCTAAATTCGTTTGAAAAGCACGCTAAATCACTGGGTTTCCCTAGCTATAAATAGCTTGAACGTAAGACTTGACGTTCAGTTGCGAGCACATGGTAAGCTGAATCTGTGGTTGTCCGTATGTTTTCGTTGTTCCGTTGTGAATATATACGTAAGTTCACTACATCAGTTAAAGACTTTCAAGCCTCATAAATTTATTAGGAATAATTAGATTCAGCATCCATTTATCTATTAGTGTGTAAATTTTCAGCAATATTACTAATCGGACTAATTCACAGTACATTTTTTAGAAGTGCATCCATCACTTGAAAGTTCATTTCTAGTCGCACGCCAGTCTCCATTTTGAAACTCGCGAAAATAAACATTCATAGTCAACTGGACTTTAACCTCGTTAACGTGCATATTTATTTAATTTTTATTATTTTATGTCACATTCTGACAATACTATTTGAAGCCTGCATATAATTTCAGCATATTTAATGGCAATTTGCGATTATTTATTGATGTGCGGCATTTTTTCATAGGGACACCAAGTAGCTATCAAGACTAGTATTTTCCGATAATTTTGTTGAAAAATGTCATCTAGTTATATGTTTTACAATATGGTTATATGCTGAGTTTCTGAATTAGTTTAGTTATGTTTAAATTCTCTATCCATTTTTACAGATCTCAGACAAATGTTAACTCTTTCAATGATCGGACTGATTAGATATAGAGATTTTAATTAGACCTGTCTCAAAGGAACGAAGGGGTGGTCGGTTTGCGAAAAGTATGTTGCCATAGCAACACTTCATAAACTTCATTCGCGTTGTTTCATTATAACTGTTAAGTACCCGGGGGACCCTTCTGTTTTCAGTTATCAGTTTCACATATTTAAAAGTAGGTAGGGTTTTATATTGCCAGTATATTATTATTTTCAAATGAGTCTTGAGTATTTTTAATTTATTAAATTCTTAAAATTATTTATTTAAAAAAAATATTTTATTATTAATCACCAGCTGTTCTGTTTCATCATATATGTAATGGGAAGATCTCAGTCTCAAGTATATTATCATAATCAATAATGATAATCATAATAAAACAAAAGAAGCAGGAAAATATTTTCACAGATTTCGCCAGTCAGTCTATGAGTGCTCAATGCATAATGTCAGTGTTGCAAATATTTCACGTATGTTATCGTCTATTTCAGGAATTGTCTTTAACAAAATTCCTTTAAATGTCCCCTTTGTATCTACAGTAGCACAGATGGTGTATGAACTTGGGGTACTTGCCAACATTCAGGTTGGCCAGATGCTGCACGAGTGCGATGCTGCTACACTGGGATGGGATTCAACAACCAAACAAGGATCCCATAATAATGAAGTTCATGTGACTCTTATAACATAACTTCGTAAACAGTCTTTAACTTTAAATATTAGGGTTATTTCAGGGTCTACAACAGAACAGCTGTACCGGCACGTCTTCGAGGCTCTATCTGATGTTTCTGAGATGTACTGTGATGCTTTTAAGATTCCAGTAGCTGCTTTCAAGGAGGCAGTGAAAGGTAAAATAAACAGCACCATGACGGACAGAGCTGCTGTCAACCATTGTGTGAGCCAAAAACTTCAGGGGGACATAGGAGATTTGGCCGACCTGAAGTGTATGGTACACTCATTGGATGGCCTTGCCAGAACTTCCCGTGATGTGTTGTACAAGCTTGAAAGGGGTCACATTACAGAGCAAGACAATAAGAGAACAGCCTTGGGATGTTGTGCTGCAATGCTGATTCACCAGATATCCAAATTGCGTCACAAGGATGGGTCTGGTGATCCAGGTGCATTCATTGCTTTTTTGCGAAACAAAAGTATAAATCCCAGCATCTTCAAGCGCTATGTCATTTATTTGCACAGAGATTTATTGACAGTTTGTCGAGCACAAACGGCCAAAATTACTTTGTGTTAAAATACATGAAAACTTGACAGACGAAAGAGTCCTGCTTCACTTGCAGGTGCTGGAATTATTGTGACAGGGCCATGGATGCAGCTGTTATATACAGACAACAGTGAAATTGGTCATTTAGAAGCAGTAAGTCAGGTGAAGGATTGTCTCGAAGGCTTGAAAATAGTTGAAGCCAGAATACCTTATAGAAATGAAACGTAATGCTTTTGGTAGGGATTTGTGTAAGACAGCGTTGAACCAACCTCAGTTTGCATGTGAAAATTTTAACTTAGTATCCAAAAATTTAGCGGAGGCTTTTATTCGAACACTTAATAGGCAGTTTAAACCTTATTTAGATGGGCCCTTATCGAATCCGTCTCCTGAATTGATTAAAAAGACATCATCTGCAGAATTACGTAACATAGGGGCTGAGATAAATCTTGCAAGGGTGGATTCAGTGATGCAAAAAGCTCCCAATGCCACCATGGGGTTCATTGACACAAAGGTGAAGGCTGCCCAAAACAAAACATTGCAGTGGCTGCAGACATTTGATGACGACTTCCAAAAGTACCTGATAGACTTTGCAGTTCGTCGTGGAGCTAAGGTGAGGCAGCAGCAGTCTGAGGTACAGAAGAAATGTCAGCAGGAAAAATTAGAGAAGTTGGACAAGGGACTTAGGGATAAATGTGAGAGAGATCTGACAGCAGAATTTAAAAAATCAAGGTCCATGTTTGCAATACTTGAGATAGATTTGTTTAAAAGTGTAGCTGAGGAGTCAAAAGATATGTTAAGGAATTTTTTTAGTGACACTAATGCTCTGTCAGGTGTGTTACTGTCGCACATCTGGAATGATGGAGAAAAGGACTGTGTATACTTCGAGATGATAAGAAATGTGGACACAAAGAAAAATCCTCTCAACACGGAAATCGAACTTTGTTCTTGGAAGGAGCACGAGGAACAAGCAGCAGATACCTCCTTCACCTTGACAATGAAACAGTTTCTAGCAGACTTCACCACTGGAGATTTGACATTTTGTTAAACTGAATGTCATATATAAAACAAAGCAATAGAAATAAATTAAGCATTTGTATGTTAGAGTAATAAAAAAGTCATGTAACACTCTCTTTTATCTTGCATTGTTTAACAATTTAATAAAGCACATTGTCTAGTGTTATTTCAGAACAGCGTCAGTGATGATACAGGCTTCTAAGGGTAGAAGTAAGGCTATCCCCCGAATAACGGGCACAAAAGATGGCGACCAATGCCGGCCAAAAACAGGGCCTCAGTCATGTGTCAGTTTCGCGCTTCCGTCGACTTAATTTAGGGTTTTCCGATTACAGCCACCACTAAGAGTCCCTACGTCCCTCATGCATGAGCGGCGTGGGAAAATCTTGCGGTGGTGGTAGTCGCAGGAAAACCGCAAATTAAGTCGTCGGAAGCGCTCAACTGACACGTGACTGAGGCGCTTTTTTGGATGTTTTTGTGCCCATTATTCTGAGGATAGCCAGAAGTAAACTTCCAGACATGGACGGTGAAAACAAATAAGTAGTTATAATTTCTTTATCTTATTTTTATGGTTTGTTAGTAAAAAATATATGTAATTTTTTCTTTATAGCAATTACTTACCTTATTAACCTCAATCAATGCACATACAAACATTTGTGGCTAATGCTTTTTTCTGATGTATTGTTGCGCAATTAATGAAATTGTTGTTTTAAAATGTTATATTGAATTGTTTGTGTGTGTGTATATATATATATATGTTATTTAAAGTTACTTTTTTTCTTTTTCAGGCTTGCATGATTACAGAACTGTCAGCTTTTTAAACATGGACGAGTGAAAAAGGTTAAGCCGTACAAACATTTGTGGCTA